GTTCAAGAATTAAGGGCTGACAAACAGCACAATCTTCAGATGTTGAACGATCGTTATCAGGTTAGGATTCATATAGTTTGGACAATTTGAAGTCTTCTGTATAGTATGGGAGGGTATGGCAATGTGTCTTTTGCTCATTGATAAGATGTTAACGTTCCTTTGAATGATAGAGGTATAATGAAAATAAGAACTTGAAAGTGGAGAGGTCTTAGAGAATGCACATTGTTGCTAAAAAATGTATAACGCATATAATTTTTGGTATACATCTGAGGGTGCTAAACTTCAACATGATAACATCTTGGTCATTTCTCGCACAGTCACACGAAATTTCCTTTGTGAATGAATCATTATCCTCATCATGGCTAAACACTGCACTTGTTAATTAGGTAGCGGAATAGTTTAAGACATATCTTGTGATCACTTGCATTAAATTGTCTAACTGATTAACCACATATAATTTTGTTATCCAGATTGGTACTGAGCAGATAGAGGCATTGTATCAGTATGCCAAATTTCAGTTTGAATGTGGAAACTACTCTGGTGCTGCTGATTATTTGTATCAGTACAGGGCCCTGTCCATGAACAGTGAAAGGAGTTTGAGTGCATTATGGGGAAAACTAGCTGCTGAGATATTGATGCAGAATTGGGACATTGCACTGGAAGAACTCAACCGCTTGAAGGAAATTATTGACTCTAAGGTTGATTTAAGTGCATATTATGATTTTATTAACTTATTCATGGCTGTAGCTCATTTGATACAAGAAACTTGATATACTGATGATACATGGCATCCAGACTTTCTCTTCTCCTCTGAATCAAGTTCAGGGCAGAATATGGCTTATGCATTGGAGTCTGTTCATCTTCTTCAACCATGACAACGGAAGGACACAGATTATCGACCTATTTAACCAGGACAGGTATGGTTCTGGAAATGATATTTATTTTTAATTGAGTTGAAAATCAATTTAGAGCTCCATCCAAATCTGTTTCACCAAATGCTTCATTTATACATATATGCTGGCAAGCTATTTACTTCTTCGCACCGTCATAAAAATTTAGTTTTTTCTCAAATCTACTTTATATATTCTGGTTTTTATTTCTAATCTTTACGCTGGATTCATCATATTGTTGAAAATTCCGAAAATTGAAGTGAATTTTTGAAGAAAGATGATGCATATTTTACCTTACAATCTTGCACACTTTACTGCCTCCCTCTAAGACTTTGTGTGCAAATTTGAATTTAATACAATCTCTATCAGGTATTTGAATGCCATTCAAACAAATGCTCCCCATCTCTTGCGTTACCTGGCAACTGCATTCATTGTCAACAAAAGGAGGAGGCCGCAATTTAAAGATTTTATAAAGGTCATTCAGCAAGAGCAGTACTTATACGAAGATCCTATCACAGAGTTTTTGGCATGTGTATATGTCAATTTTGACTTTGATGAGGCTC